TGAGGTAAGATTTGATCATAGTTAATATTGATGTTTCCTAGCCCTATAATTTTATGATATTATTTTATTACTCAAGGCAGAAAACTATTAGAGTATTTAGTTAAATCAGACATATAATTATGACTTATATGCTACTTTTCTTTCTTTTTTAACTCAGAAACACTTTATTCTTTCTCAGTTTCTAAAACCTATGAACCATCATTTTATCTATAGTTTTCTCTATAAATCCTTTGAACCCTTTCACAATAGTCATCCACCTTATATTCTTTTTTTCTTGAAAAGGTGATGAGTTAGGGAAGGGTTACATTTACATAGGTAAGGAAATAAGTACATTTTTTTTAGTCATTGTTACTCCATTCCTTTTTATCTCCCACTTACTCTTCCCTCTCCCTTGCCATGTTCATATGCAACATAGTGTCAAGTGAGTATCAATGTTGCTGTGGTTCATCCATTGCTCTTCTTTTACTGTGATTCCCTTTCCTTTCCTATATTGCATTGTCTATTATGCAAAACACAAAAAGAAAAAAACTAAGAGAAATGAAGAAAGAATAAAAACAAGAATAGAGAAAAAGAATGAACTATATACAGGATCTAATGAGAACCTCTTGTTTCTGTAAGTTGTAGTTCATGTTAATATGCTTCATTATATAAAGTACTTTGCACTAAGCACCTGGGTTGTTTAGATCCCCTGTTAAGAATATCATATTCATATTCTAGTTCTTACAAATGAGGAAAATCATATGACATAAGGCAAGAGACAAACATAAAGAGGATCCAAGTAGGAAAAGAAGTGAAACTCTCCCTCTTTGCACGACATGATCCTATATCTACAGAATCCCATAGACTCCATTCCCAAGTTATTTGATCTGATCCAAAACTTTGGCAAAGTAGCAGAGTATAAAATCAATCCACAAAAATTAGTAGCTTTGCTCTACACCAACAATGAGAAGAGAGAAGCTGAAATTAGGAAAGCGACTCCATTTGCAATTAAAAAAATAAAATACCTAGGAATCAACTTTTGCAATAAAAAATACCTATGAATCAACTTAACCAAAGAAGTGAAGGACCTCTACAATGAAAACTTCAAAAATCTGAAAAAGAAAATCAAAGCAGACCTCAGGAAGTGGAATAACCTTCCTTGTTCCTGGACTAGGAGGATTAACATTGTGAAAATGGCAATACTGCCAAAGGCCATATACAAATTCAATGCAATACCCATCAATATCCCAACTTCTTTCCTTAATATAATAGAAGAAGCAATCCAAAAATTGTATGGAACAACAAAAGACCCCAAATAGCAAAAACAATCCTTAGCAGGAAGAACAATGCTGAAGGAATTTCAATACCAAACTTCAAACTATACAAAGCCATCATACTTAAAACAGCTTGGTACTGCACAAGAACAGGTTTGAGGACCGATAGAATAGATTCAAAGACCCAGAAATGAACCCACAGACCTACAACCAACTAATCATTGACAAGGGAGCAAAAAAAAATAGGATGAAAGAAAGACAGCCCCTTCAATAATGGTGCTGGTAGAATTGGCTAAATACATGTAGAAACCTAAAGTTACATCCCTATATATCACCCTGTACCAGAATCAACTCCAAATGGATCAAAGACCTTGAGGTAAAAGCAGATACCTTGAAAATATTATAAGAAGAAATAGGAGAAACACTAGGGCTCTTTGGCACAAGATGAAACTTTCTTAATAAAGATCCAGAAACACAACAAATCAAAGAAAAGCTGGATGAATGGGACTGCATTAAACTTCAGCACTTCTGCACAACAAAGGACATAGCTGGCAAAATATATCGAAATCCCACAGACTGGGAGAAGATCTTCACCACCCATATAGCAGACAAGGGTCTCATATCTTTTGTTGTTGTTGTGGGGATTGAACTCAGGACCTGAGCACAGTCGCTGAGCTCTTTCACTCAAGTCTGGCACTCTACCACTTTGAGCCACAGACCCACTACTGTACTCATGTATTTAAAAAAAATAGATGACAATGAGTGCCCAGTATAGTTGAAATGTTATGCTAAGCACAGATATAATGTCAGCCAATAAAATTCAAGCCACTTATATGAAGGTTCATATAGTGTAAATAATACAGATCAATAATCAGAGGAAATCAGAGGAGAAATCTTTGTCATATTGAAAAGAAGTGGTAGCTTCCATATTTACTCTCAGATTCAGCTTCAAAAATCTACTATAAGTCAGTCATATGTACTGAATTGATGCTGTCTGTTTGCAATTGTTCCATACAAAGTATGACATCTGTTAACACATAGTTTACCTCCATAGCTTTGATACCAAAATTACATATGAAAGTGCTGCTTTAAAATCTTTACATGTAAAGATCCTGAAATGGAAATGATCTGAACCTATAAGCCATGCTTTCTATATTCTATTTTGTTCATATGAGAGACACTTTAAACTTAAAGACATATTTATTTTGTAAAATGCTTCCGAGCTAATACATGAGTTAATTTCATATTTTGAATAAAATGAGAAAATTTCAGAATTTAGCAGGTAAAATTGGATGTAGGTTAACAGTGGAAAAAATGTGGAAATTTTAGAGTCTCTGTAAACACCCCATTTGTTTATGAATTATATGTCTTGGTTTTCATTTACAAGTTTATGTTATTTGTATCAGTCCATTTACATGTCTTAATGAATATGGTTAGAAGAAAATAATATGCACCAATACTAAAAATCTGAGCCATTTTTACTACTAGAGATTGATGGAAACCATATGTCAAGCAGCATGTGTGTGCATTTATTTCAGTTCTGACATGCCTACAGGAGGTAATGGATGAAACTAAAGTACTGGATTAATGTTTTGGAGAGTAGAATCCATTTTCACAACACAAAGTGAAATGATTTGGCAATGGTCCAGTTTATTACAATTTGAACAGGTAAACTTCATATCAGGTATCCTAAATAAATATCTATGGTTTGGCCTAAAAAAGGATAGGTTCTTTAGGTGTCCCATTGTAATTCTCATATCATGGCACGTATTCTTTTTAAAATAAAGGATATAATGATAAAATTAGATGAAAATCCTCTTAAAATTTTCAAAGTAGAAGTTTTTTTGATTTTCTTTTGAGAACCAACCAAGGTTTGGACTCAAGGTTAGGGCTTCATGCTTGTCTTGTTTGCTTATGTATAGCACTCTATCACCTAAGCAACAGTCCAAACCAGTAATTGACTGGTTGATGGGAATTAAGAATCTTTCAAGCTTTTCGGCCCCTGTTGGCCTCAAATCGCAATCTTGTAGACCATGAATTATCTAGGATAATCACTTTAGTTTTATATATATGTAAAATATACAAAGTGAGATTTTTGTCAGTGTAAAGAAATGACTCTTAATTTATTCCTACATGTGTGTTTAGACTTGACATTAAATGTTAGGCTTCAAACAGACTCTATTCTGTCTTAACATGTGACCCCCATAATAAATGTTCAATAAATGCTTCATGAAGTGATGTTTTGTCATGAGTAATATAGCCATATGCAGAAAATCTTAGAGTGAATGTGGGGTAAACCTGAAAAGCAACATCACTTATCATTTCTGACCCCTTTTCCAAATCTACTGTCCATCACCTCTTCATGGTCAATTCTTCATCTTATGCACAAATAACTTCAATGAAAGTATGTACTAGTCCTACATGATATAACTGTGTATCTATATATCATAGATATGTGGGTGTGTATTTGTCTGTGTATACACAATAAGAAAAAAATTAACAGTGCTTAATAAATCTCACTGTTTTTAGTCTATACTTTTGACACAGTTCATTACTTCTAATTACAATCATTCACCTTCTCATGATTGGTCAGTATTATCACTACAACAAAACACACAAATTTACAGTTGAGCAAAGGCCTGTGGTTAAAAAAATCTTATACATTGTCTCTGTGAGTATCTACATACATGTTAACAGAGAAAATTATGTAGAGTTATTATAGAGATGAATTTCTAAACTCTTCAAGTGTTTATCTTATTAAACTCATTTGCTTCTGAATTTAAACCATAAGAAGCTTTCCCTAGTTAAAAATTTATTATGAATAAAGTTTAGGAAGAAAAAAAGGCAATTCTTTCTAATGGAGGCATAGAATTCCTTTGTGTATATACCACATTTTCTTTACCCATTCATCTACTGAGGGGCATCTGGGTTGGTTCCATTTCTTAGCTATGGTAAATAATGCTGTAGTAAACATAGTTGTGCTGGTAGCTTCAGTATGGTCTTGTTTGTGATAATTTGGGTAAATGCCCAAAAGTGGGATTGCTGGGAATGACATTGCCCATTTGTTAGGAAATGGAAAGACTTGGAAAAAATTATATTAAGTGAAGTAAGCCAGGCTCAAAGAAACCTAGGTCCCGTGGTTTCCCTTCTTTGCAATAGCTAGTATATGTCTGAAACAAGCAGAAAAGGTCAGATAAGTTGATGTTAGGCAAAATGAACCCCAAAATTAGGGCTCAAATGTTTTTTCTTGCTTGCTATTGTTTCTAACATATTTATAAGATATTTCTTTGTTGCTTTGTATGTCTCTCCCCCACGGCATAACCCCTGTTTTCACTGTATTTGATGTTGGTATAATTCGGGAAGGGGAAGGGGAAAAAAAACAATTATTTAAATAGGGATACAAGTGGACCCATTGCAACAACGAGGTGTATAAGACATTATGTCGAAAAACGAACTTTACAAGTTTGGTGGGGGGGGAGAGAGAAGGAAGGGGGAGGAGGGGAGGAGATGGGAAGGGCTGGTAATGGAATACAAAGGAGGAGGCAACAATGCTTGATAAGATATGTAGTCATTACAATGCTCATGTAATTGTAACCCTTCTGTATGGTATTTTCACAATAAAAAAAAGGCAACTCTTCCAAAATTAGAGCAGCTTCTAGAATTGATAATGTACCTTCTTTGAAAGATGATTTGTTTAAAAGCATGGAGACATTTCATGATATCAATACACTTTTTCTTGCCTTGTAGGAGTCTCGGTTGCCAGAGGATTACCTTGCACAAAAATCTGTTCTTCTCTTTTGTTTGTAACTCTATTGTAACAATCATCCACCTCACTGCAGTAGCCAACAACCAGGCCTTAGTAGCCACCAATCCAGTAAGTAATAAGGTTCTAGTTTCAAGTTCAAGAGGCTAGCAGGGAAGATGGGAGAGTCAAGGTAGGGGTTAGTGTGCTGATATATGTAATGTGTGAAAGTGTGTGTGTATGTGTGTGTATGTGTGTGTGTGTAAAAGGAAGTAGATATACATACTTATTTTCAGACCTGACCTATAATGAGCACACATAGTAATTATATTATAATTTTTAGAGATGAATACTTCTCAGTATTGCCTAGAATGCCAAAATGAATTTCAAAAGAATAATCTTGTAACTTCAGCTCTTTTTATGGCTGTAGCATTTTGGTTTGTTGGGATACAGGGATGTGACTATACAATATTAATGCAATCTAGTTTAAAAGCCAATCAAAGCAACTCACTGAGTGATTTGAAAGATATGAAAATGAGAATTTTAAATGAAATTATATTTTTTATTTCAGGCTGACTTTTTTTGGGGGGGGGGGTCCGGTCATGGGGCCTGAACTCTGGGCCTGGGCACTGCCCCTCAGCTCTTCAGCTCAAGGCTAGCACTCTACCACTTGAGCCACAGCGCCACTTCTGGCTTTTTTCTTTTTGCTTATGTGGTGCTGAAGAATCAAACCCAGGGCCTCAGGCATGCAAGGCAAGCGCTCTACCACTGAGCCACCTTTCCAGCCCCCCAGGCTGACTTTAAACATCAATAAAACTTGAAAAATAATGAATTATATACTCCATATACAATACTAAACATAAGTAGGCTAAAATTTAGAAAATCTTTACCAATACCTCATTGTTTCTAAAAACCTGTTTCTCTATGAGTCATATGTTTAAAACACAAATTCAATTTTATTTAGTCATTTTTACATAATTTATGCAATCTATATTCACATGTAAGTTATATTTGATTTAAAATATCTGTACTAATAAAAGCATTCAAAATTTTAGGATCCTTTTTTTAAACAGTGTTTGTGAAAAGAGTGGGATTTGAATGTAGATTGTATTTCTATGGACAAGTATATATGAAATGTTATTTTTAAAGATTAAGGTATCTAGTACTGAAATCAGAGGAAAGAAATTTTTATCCAATGGGTCAATGAACAATACCCTAATATGTGTTTTAATATGTGTGTTTTAGGGTAATTTCCAAAGTCCTAAAATTCCCTACATTGTTTGCACATGTGTATCCGGATTGTTTAATCTTGTATAAGTTCCAGTCTAAAGTCACAGGTTTAGGAAACACATTGGGGTATAATTAGCAATAAAAAAAAACTTGGCTTCCCTCCTGCTATTTTAGAGTGAGTTTCTCTAAAGTAAGAAGATTCAATTCTGTTACAAAACTGCAGAACAAGAGTTTCTAAGTCTTATGTTCAGTACAAGGATGTTAGGTTTAATACACAGAAAAATGTGTGTTTATACTTAATATATAGACATATAGTATCTAATTGTATACTAAGTTATTATCTGGTTATATAACCAATTCCATGCATGGAAATATTTTTCTAAAGCATGCTCTAAATTATTTTACCATAAGTCTGTAAATAATTTTTCATGAAATCGACTTTAATAAATTTTACATAAAAGTACATTATTTAAAATTTAATGTCATAATTCTATATAGAGAGAGACAAATTAAGAGAGAAAAAGATCAATATATACCATTCACAATGAAATATTATTAGTATCAAAATTTTCACTAACATTGATGCTAGTAACAAAATTATGTAAAGTTTATAGTTTTGATAGATGTTATATATGAATATTACAAATCATCTCACTTTTCCAGTATTCAATTTTTGTTCTATAATACCAGCCACAATTATTGTAAGGATTAAATAAATGTTGTGAATACACACATTTTTAAGCTAACTACTATGCAGATGTGATTGTTACTCTTCCATGTTAATCTGATATTTAAGTTTCAGTGGTGTTGATTTATGGTGTCCAACAAAAGAAATATTTAAATAATATAATTTTCACTAAGTATTTATTGCATTTCAGGCTAGAAATGAGCTAATGGCACTAATTTGTATTTCTAGGAGAAATTTAAGTTAATTCTTCTTGGTAAAGAATAAAGCTATATTGTTTATTATTTCCCACTTTTTTAAATTCAGTATGTGAAGCTCCTTCTTCCTGTCTCTAAAATAGAAGATAAAGTAGAAGACAAGAAATCATATTTTTTCCTCTTCAAGTCCACATGAAAAATCTGATTTCATATTTCCTTTTTGGGGGGTGGACTCCGGTTGTGGGGCCTAAACTCTGAGCCTGGGCACTGTCGCTCAGCTCTTCAGCTCAAGGCTAGCGCTCTACCACTTGAGCCATGGTGCCACTTCCGGCTTTTTTCTTTTTTCTTATGTGGTGCTGAGGAATCGAACTCAGGGCCTCATGCATGCAAGGCAAATGCTCTACCACTGAGCCATCTTCCCAGCCCTAATTTCATATTTCAGTGGGAGAGTGGATAGGCTCATTATATTATTAATTTTTCTTTTTAAAAATTATTTATTTTTTTTTCAGTTGTGGGGCTTGAACTCAGGGCCTGTATACTGCCCCTGACCTTTTTCACTCAAGGATAGTATTCTACCATTTTGCTTGTAGCAGCTCCTCTTCTGGTTTTCCTGGTGAATCAATGGAGATTAAGAGTCTTATGGACTTTCCTGCTCATGCTGGCTTTGAATCATGATCCTCAAATCTCAGCCTCCTGAGTAGCTAGGATTACAGGAATGAGCCACCAGTTCCTGGCTAAATAATATTTCCAGTAGCATGTAGTATCTAAATGTTTCCAAGTATGTGACATTTTTAATTGTTTTAGACATGCTACATTTTTCTAATGGAATATGCAACAAGTAAGTTTGACTACTAAAAGAGATATCATATTTTGCATGTGGAAAATGTATACATATATATAATTATATAGCTAGAATACATTAGGAAAACAAACATTCTCATCTACAAATGAGGCAGTTTGGGTATTTACAGATTGGGTGACAGACTTAGAAGTCTTTAGAACCTATAGCTTAAGTCTGCAGAGGCACCATTAGATGAACATGAAGACTGGCATTTTACATATCTGACAATCTGTCTATGTATGAAGTGTTTGCAGAACAGAAAGTCCATGTTTCCTGAAATAAACTAGACTGAAGCTTTAGATGAAGACTCATGAAGTTTCTTTTGCTTCACAGGTGAGCTGTAAAGTGTCTCAGTTTATTCACCTTTATCTGATGGGCTGCAATTACTTCTGGATGCTCTGTGAAGGGATTTACCTCCACACACTCATTGTCGTGGCTGTGTTTGCTGAGAAGCAACATTTGATGTGGTATTATTTTCTTGGCTGGGGTAAGTGCAATTATTCACATGTATGGAATTAACTGATAAAGAAAGCCCGTAAAAGAGGCCTTTTGTCATAGAGACATAGAAATTACATTAGTCATTTGTAAAGGACATATAAATTTTTGCTTATTCTTATCAATCAATTGATGCCAAACTTTGGGCTTAGGTAGCAAATTAGGACTTATTCAAAATAATTTATAGGCCGGGCACCAGTGGTTCATGCCTGTAATCGTACTTAGGAGGCTGAGATCTGAGAATCCTGGTTCAAAGCCAGCCCCGGCAGGAAAGTCCATGAAAAACCACTAGAAAACCATAAGTAGCACTGTGGCTCAACTGGTAGAGAGGTAGCCTTGAATTGTAGAGCTCAGGGACAGTGCCTAGGCCCAGAGTTCAAGCCCCATGACTGACAAAATAATAATAATATTTTATATTAGCATATAATGCACACACATATATAAATATAGACAAATATATATAAAAACAAAAATCTAAGTTTATTGTATCTGTTATTGGCTTATAGCAATAATATTTTCTCAGTGGTTTCATGGTGGCCAGTCATTTTTTGCTGTAAGAATATCTGAAGTTCATGTTTCATGATCTATTTTAGGAGTTCCATGTTATAAGGAAAATTGACTATTTTCTTTTGCTCTGATATTTATAGGATTTCCACTCATTCCTGCTTGTATCCATGCCATTGCTAGAAGTTTATATTACAATGACAAGTAAGATAATCTCTCTTTATAATTTCTTTTGAAACAAAGTAAAACAAAATCTTTAACATAATGCTTTCTTTTCCCCCTAGTTGCTGGATCAGTTCTGATACCCACCTCCTCTACATTATCCATGGTCCTATTTGTGCTGCTTTACTGGTAGGTAATTAAAATCCTTTGTCTCACTTTGGCTCATATGTTTTGAGCTCATGGATATTATATTGTTCAGGATCTCAGAAGTCAGAGATGGTGTACTTGCAGTGAAGGAGTTATATTGGAGGTACAGGCAGGAAAAGCAAAGGAACTAATTTAAGTAATGGTGAGGCATACCATCAGGAAGCTGCTATTGCAACCTGACCTGAACAGACCAGTGCTAATGGACAAGTACCAGGAAGAGGAAGAGGTACCGATAAGAACGTTGTCCTTGAGAAGAGCAAAACAGTCAGAGCTAAAACTACAACCAGGCAAGGACAAAGCAGAAGCAAACACTCAAGCTCAAGAGCTATCTCTTCCCATGCTCTAATACCTTGGTTCCTCTCATTAGCAAAGTGCCATAAATATCAGAGGTCAAGAAAGCCTGAGTGACATTATAGTCCACAGATGTGACCTCTTGGGCACAGAGCAGAATTGGAAAAATAAGTGGACAAGACAAACAATAGAAAAGAACACATACAGGTAAGAGTAATACCACCAATAACAGAAAAGAGTATAAGTGAACCTATTTCATTATTATAATGATCACCTAAAATAATTACACTAATTGGACATCTTTAAGTGTGTATGAGGGAAACAGGAATTTATACATTTGATGCTGCCATTACCACATTTGAGACTGGCAATAAATTTATACATACTAACATGTTTTCTTTCATGGGGAGTTAGAGATTCTAAGGCAATTCCATTTTCTAAGAGCAATGCCTTATTTGCTACTGGTAGTTAGATATAAAAAGGTAAGTTCTCAAGTTCAACTCTTATTTTTAGGCTCTTCATAGCACAAAGATTTTTGTATTATTTTATTGTGTTTTCTAACTTCAATTTAGTATGTGGTTATGCTAGAATACTAGTCAAACAGATCTGAAAAAATGTACCTTTGCTATGACATTTAAAAATATATCCCGATTAAAAAGGTAATTCTGTAGCAATAGTAACCTTAATGCTAACAAGGAATTGGCTGAAAAAGAAATAAATGCAAATAAATGCAACCCTATTCACAACACACTCACCCACTCACACACACACACACACACACACACACACACACACACACACACACACATTCCAGATAGTCCTAAGAAGAAATTGAACTAAGGAAGTCAACAGTGAACATTATCTAGAATTATATAAAGTACAAAAATCATATAAAATTATCATGACACAATTTTGGAAACCAATACCATGCTGTTGGATATGAAGCATCAAAATAGTTGAAGTGTGTATACTGCACAAATCAATCACCAATTTCAATATAATGCCTATCATAGGTATCAATGGTATCCTTCCAAGAACTGAAAACGACACACACAAAGTTCATATGGGCCCTCACAATCCAGAAAATGCAAAGCAATGTAGAACCCAAAACAATATTAGAAGCACCAAAGTACTTGACTTTAAAACATAATATAAAACTATAATATTTAATATAGGGTGTTACTATAACACACACAGAGAAAAAAAACCCAAATTAGAATTCAGCTTTTTACCCACATATGCAACATAACAATCTCTGTCACCATCATCAAGAATGTAAGCTAGTTTTAAAGAAAAATGTCATTTCAAGAAACTGGGCTAAGAAAACTAGATAAGCACATGGAGAAGAAGGAAATTTGTGTGCCACAAGGGTTACAACCCAAGAGAGAGTCAAATAACTCAACAGCAAAATACAAAACTATTCACCTAATACAATCCAACATACCAAAGGAACCTGTACCTCATGGTTTGTGTAGCACTATTCACATAACCAACGTGAAGAATCAATCAAGATCTCCATTGGTCATTGAATAGATAGAAATGTAGTATATGTATATGTATGTATATATATGTATATATTTATACATATATGTATATATGTATATATTTATATGTATATATGTATATATTTATAAACTATGTATGATTTTATGTACATATACACTACCTATCTATGGTACATACACAATAGAATGCTTGTTGTTCAGCCACAAAAAGGATGATATTCTGTCATCTGTAGAAATATGAAAGGAATGAAGGACATTATGGTAATAATATGACCAAAGTAAACATGGTATCTTCTCACTCACAGCAGAAAGCTAAGAACGTTGTTTTCTGTTTTTTGTTTTTTAAGAATAAAGAAGTAGAGGTCTCTAGAAGCTAGGGTGGGTTGCAGTAGAAATACCAAGAATGGACAGTCAGTATCCAAATATACTTAGAGAAAAGGTAGGAATTCTAAGGTCCTATTAGCATAGTAGGGCAAAAAGAATCTCTACAATGACTAATTATTTCAGGATTGCTAGAATGGAGTTTGAAAGTTCTGAACATGTATATAGAGATGGTGGTATTTGAGGAAGTAGAAATGATTTGAGCATGCATTTACTCATGTATCAAATTATAACATCATACCACAAATCAGTATAAGTATTATGTCAATTAGAAACAAAATAAGTAGTGATTTTATGTTTTTAATGAGGATTAAATATGTTAATGCACAAAATACTTAGCCTGGAATGCTGTTAGCACTAATTAAGGGTCCACTTTCTGGTTTGTTCCTGACCCCACAGCCAGTCCAAACATCAATACATAGATACTTTGTGTTCTCTGTGACCATTTAACTTAATGTAGATTCTCCTAGAAAACTCAAAGGTAGAAACACATCATTCTCTTACAGCCTTTTCACAATATGGGCATGTGCAACACACTGAGTTCAGTGTACCCCTAGAAGGCCTGGTTTTGTATTCTTTGTCCTCAGAGCAAACACTGAGTCTTGGCTTTATTACAGCTGGGTGTGGGTTTTAGGGAACATTCTCTTTTGCTTTGTTTCAAACCTCTCTGTAAGGAAATTAAGATGCAGTGTTTAGCCACCCAGTAGATTCCAGAACAAATACGAGGCTGCATGTCATTACAAATGATCTGCCTTACAATGAGACAGGCAATTAAAACTTCTACTCCAGAGAGATTCGAGAAATACAAGTACAAATCCAGACTGCAATAGCAGTTTACCCAGTCCTCTGAAAAGTCTGTCTACATCAACTTTGGGAAGCAAGATAGATGATGTAGCCTGAGTGAATTGCCATAAAGAAACCCAACTCATCAAGCTGCTCAGGAAGGAAGGAAGTAAATATTCACTTTATTCATATAGAACTTTGCATCTTGTCAGCCTAAAGCAAGATTTTGAGAGTCTGTATCTCGACCATTTGTTTTGCCCTTCTTCACTCCTCGGTAGTCCTGACAATTTTCAAGGTCTTGGGAAGGCCTTAGTCATTGTTCATGTCTTAAGTCTTTGCAGAATTTTTATAAATCATCTTAACCACAATCAGTGGCTTTCTGCTGACTTCCTCAATCAGACTTCCCTTAGAGCAGGGTGGCATTGAAGTGAAGCAAAGCATTTATAGATTCTGCCAAAGGGAAGCTGAGAGAGGACACATTTAAATAGAGTTCAGTGTGACATCCTTAGTTCACTTCAGGATATGTTTAAGGAATGACTGGTCACACTTACTGGAAAATGGCTTTCAAAAATCTTCATATAGGCACTGTGCTGATCTACTCTGCTTCCTTTTGAGACTCTGGGGTGATATAGTGGTCTGAAGATGTCTGTGTTAACCAGCTCTTGAAATTTATGAATGTCAGAGTAAAAATTGGTTTCCTCTTAACTAGGTGAGTTGTAAATTCAAAGAAATTCACCTGAAATTGGAAATTATTAGTCTATTTTTGCTTGACACTTTACAGAAAATAAAGTAATATGTAAAGATCACAATTATGTGGATATGTCGTGGAGAATAATACACAGTAACACTGTTGGCTGTTTAAGGTGTAACTAAGGCAAAGATAAGTTCCTGTGTTAATTCTAGTTTCTGATTTCACATTGTAGATAAGATATACCACTTAGAGGACGCATTCTATAATTAAGAAATTTTCATGTAATATGTGTCTGAATTGTAATATTTCACTGTTTTAAAAGCTTTGATTTTATATATTAAGATTTTAATGTGCTTACTATTATAAATCATAATCAAGTAAATAGACACTATATCTTTTCATCTAGGAACAAGCTTTAATTTAAATGTAGTCAAAATGTTTATTTTTGATGCTGATCCTGGAGCTTGAATTCAATGTCAGTACATGGTCCCTAAGCTTTTTTGCTCAAGCCTAGGGTTCTACAAGTTGAACCATAGCTCAACTTCTGCCCTTTTTAGTAATTAATTAGAAATAAGGGTCTCATGGACTTTTCCTGCTTGAGCTAGCTTTGAACCAGGACCCTCAGGTCTCAGCCTCCTGAGTAGCTAGGACTACAGGCATGAGCCCCCAGCACCCAGTTAGTTGAAACATTTTAAAATAGCAATGAGTGCTTAGAGAGGGAGTACACTGGGATGAACAAGAACCACTGACTTGCTAGTTTATTGTGTTTTACATTATTCCTGTTCACATGACTTCTGCTTTTTTCTTTATGTATCCCTGTGTGTATAAACATGTTTCTTTCCTTAGATGTGTGTCATTAGGGTTCTGGTGAACAGTATATTTTTAATATATATATTATGTTGAATTCTAGTAGTGGAATAGTAATGGAATATTTTTATATCCAATTTTCATGACAAATCCTTTCAATTACCAAATGTGCTACTTGTTTATTTTCCATGCTAAAATGAGATGTTACAGTTACTTTTCAAATTTATTAAAATATATGTATATAAATTATATGTGGGCTTGTGTTTTGAATTTTTAAGATTGTTAAACAAAGACAGCAGAGGCTAGAGGTAAGAGTAAGGAAAAAAATGGAAGAAAATAATGTGACTTTTTGTGTTAATGTCCATTATGACAGGATAGGGAATGAGCACTGAACAAGAGGACAGAAGTGAAAGAAATAAGGATTTATGTCATGGGGGGGAAAAGAGAGTGAGAAAGAGAGAGACACAGAGAGAGAGAGACAGAGAGAAACAGAGAGACAGAGAGGAGAGGAGAAGAAAAAATAGAGAAACAGACACACACAAACACACACACAGAGAAATATTTTTGGTCCAACAAGACTTTCACAAATCATATTGTATATTTGAAGTCATATGATACCCTTTAAAAAGCATACTATCCCAATGCTTAGTAAATATATAATCTGTAGTAAATATATAATTGCAGAAAGTGAATGCTTGCAGGTCTTACTGAATGTAAATAATTCTACTTAGATAATCTCCATTGACTAGCAGCTTGTTCAATGGCATGAGAGCCTCTTCATAAGGATAAAGAAAATTACAGTACTATTTGAGAGGGAAAATTGTTAGGAAAATGTATTATAAGGATTACTATTACAAACATAAAAAGCAAATGAAAAAGATGAAAATCGTTAATATAACTATATACTATATATGTTTTAAACCATAAAATATAGATTGGGATTGAGGTGCTACTTTAAAAACCAACATTAAAAATAATTATTTAAGCTAAAAATTTAGTTTGGGGACCATAGGAAAAAATGTTAAATGCATGAGAAAATTAGTTAAGAAAAACTCTCAACTATTTCACAACTGTGTTGCACCATCATTGTACATTAATTTTATTTTCATAAGTTAAATTCATTTACACCAACATACTTATAAGATGAATCTCACAATTCCAGAGATACAAATATACGTGCTCTTGTACATTGCATATATCCTAAGATTTAAAAAATTAGAGTTCTAGTAATGATTCTAAATACTAAAAACGAAATGATTGTAAACACCCTTCTATCTTCTCTTTAGGTGAACCTTTTCTTCCTATTAAATATCGTACGTGTTCTCATCACCAAGTTGAAAGTTACCCACCAAGCTGAGTCCAATCTTTACATGAAAGCTGTGAGAGCTACGCTCATTCTTGTGCCACTGCTTGGCATTGAGTTTGTGCTGATTCCATGGCGACCTGAGGGCCGGATTGCAGAGGAAGTGTATGACTACATCATGCACATTCTTATGCACTATCAGGTATGGCATTTTGAACATTACCAGGACAACTGAAGGCTCAGCATTTAATGTCCATAATGCTTTAAGTGACTCTACCCAGCAAATTGCCTATAAATACATTAATGTCCTTTATTTAGATTCAAATATTTTTATTTTTCTTTACAGGGTCTTTTGGTTTCTACAATTTTCTGCTTTTTCAATGGAGAGGTATGTTAATTGATTTTACTCTTCATTATTATAAATGTGTCCCCAATAGAAAAATAAGATGGAAGTTATGCACAGTGTCTCATTCCTATAATCTTAGCTATTTGGCAGCAGAGATCAGGAGGCTCATGGTTTGAGGCCAACCTAGGCTAAAATTTCATGCAACTATACCTCAACCAATAATTCCTGTGCATGCTGGTATGGCTGTCATCTTAGATATCTGGCATGAACAGAAAATATCTATCCAGGCTGGCCCTAGCATAAATGTGACATCCCATCTCAAAAATTAAAATGGGCCAGAGGCCTTGTTCACATTTGCCTAGTGTGACTATGAATTCTTAATTTCAAAACCTGAGAACAAGGATGGAGAGAAGGAGGAGGAAGAAGAGGAAAAGAAGGAAGAGGAAGAGGAGGAGGAAGAGAAGGAGGAGGAGGAGAGGGTGGGAGGAAGGGAGAGAGAGAGAGAGAGAGAGAGAGAGAGAGAGAATATAAATTATAAGCTCCCAAAGAATCATTTCAAAGTCAGTTTTCAGCAGAGAAAAGAACACATCTGTCAAAAGTTCAGGTCATGTTGTAGTTTAAAGGTAGGGGAAAATCAGCCTTACTTTAACTAGTCAATGACTCTTATTCATTTAATCTTCTGACCTATCACTGGGATTCCACATCCAGAGATTGTCCTTAGAACAGTGCTAGATATTCCTTAACTTCATAGAACATACAATCTAACAAGAAATAGAACCTGCTCATTGACCTTTCTTTCTTTGTCTGCTTCACAATGTGTCCTTTGGAAATGTTTTAAAGTAGATATAAAAAAGACTGAAAGGAATTAAACTCTCCATTCTGCAGGGAGGAGATGCAGTTTGTCAGGACATTTAGAACTGAATGCTTTGATTCGCAACATGATACTGTGTTCTTGGATACTGGTGGATTTTTATCCAAACCATGGAGATCAGGAATTTTGAAAACTGTTTATGTGTTTCTTGTGCATATGGATATTGTTATAGCTCAGTCGTTTGAGCTTTGTTGTTTTCGCTTTTTATGTTTCTAATCTACTTGATCAATTGTAGCCATGAAGATGTTGGCAAAATTAAGCAAAGTTTAGAAATCCAGAGAGCAACTGAGTGAGACACAGATACTTGATAACTGGAAGCTTATCACAATTCTTCAGATGGAGAACACATGTAACTAGTTGGCATAACATTATGAGAATCATTCCTAGAAAATAAATCAACACTGGAAATCCCATACATTTCATGAAAAAAACTATAAAATATGGTTTTCCCTGTTTAAGTAAATTTTTAACTATCTTGGTATATAATAATTTCCATTGCTTTGTCTTTCATTTAGAAATTTAAAAATATTTTAATTTCAAAGTATAGATTTGTATAGCATAGATTCACTTATTTATGATAGAGTGTAGAAATGTCAGCGTAAACTACATTTCATACATTTAGTTGATAGTTTCCTGAACCTTCTCTAAAGACAGGATTAAAGTCATGAAAGGTATAGACAGAAAACTTAATTGGGGATAATTGGGTTCAATCTGTAAAATTCAAATGACCTTTGTTATGAATCTCTATAGAAGTATTATAGAATCTCTATAGAAGTATCTCTATAGAAGCATTGCCTATATAAAATGTAACAGATTTTGATGACTATATTGATGACATGTGTCAGGAACATGCATAACATATGAAGGTATACCTCAGTATCACACAACAAATGAGTGTAATTTTTAAGTATTCAAAACAGAATCACTATTTATAAAAGATTAGCTCATTATTAATAATGATAAATAAAAGGCTAATATTAGTTAAACAAAATGTTATGAGTCAGGAGACATCTGCTTAAGAATGCATTTAAACTCCAATGATGTTATTTTCTTTTTAACTTACTTTATGAAATGCTATGAATTAGGAACATGTGTCTACCTTTACTAAAGGTAAAAAAATAGTAAGTGCTCCAAGCAAACCTCCTGAGGATTTATGTAAAGTTTTTGTATAATATTCTACTCACACAATATCCTTCTTGTATTATAACACCAATGTTAGATTTATCAAATAAGTGATTTTGGAAAATAAATTCTTAAGTAGAAACAGTAATTGGTCCTTCTGTTTAGAAAAACACGCCCAAGAAATATTGAAATTAATGCCTTATACTCCAGTTGCATTTTTAGCTGGGTAAACAAAAGACACACAATACTCTCTTCTTAAGCCTGTCTTAAAATTGAGAACATTTTGGCACTCGAAAATTATAATAATGAAAAACTCTTTCAGCTAGATTGTGGCCAAATCCGTCAGTTTTTCACAATATCTTTAATATCCCCTGTTCTTCATCTCTGGAGCTGCAATCCCCATTTAAGTATGAGTCACCTCTCATCTTAAGAAATACTCTAATCCCTCCCTTTTTGTCTCTTTGCCTTTTAGTTTTTCCCATTCTCCTAACAGAGTAACAGGAAGAAAGCTGCCAAATTCAGTTTGTGTGGTTCCAACTATGTCATGTTGGTCTGCAAATCCATTGCTCAGGCTTAGATTTCTTCTAGCTTTCCACATTAGGTCAAGGACTTGACTTTTGTTTAATATCTGTATTTATTTTTACTTTCACCTTTGTTTAATTTTAAGCCAACATTTTCCTCTTAACACTTCTAAGCATTAGTTAAATAACTGGCTTTGCAAGCAATCTGGCCACTATACCACTTACCTAACCCACAGACAAAAATATTTACTCCTAACATATCCTGGGGACCCTGGTCATCAAAAAGACATATTTAACAATGGAGAGTAGGTATATTTGTAAAATGAATGAAAACATTTGTTGAACTGAACTTACATTCTGTAAAGGGAACAAAATAGATAACTTTACAAAGCTATATTAAATTTTAAAAATCAATTTAAATTAAGTACTATAGACTATTTTCCCAATCAAGTGATAATCAGCATATAAAGCCAGAATGTTACATTCTAAGCATTTGATATTATTGTTCACATAATGCTCATATACATTTGTAACTAATAGAGTCATTTCACTTCATTTTTTTTCATTGAAACTTACTGAATGGTCACTTTAATGTTCTCTTGAAGAAGTGTAATCTTTTATTAGAGGAAGCAAGTGAAAAAAATAACATCCTTTTGGAGAATAATATAAACAGAAGTCTACAAGACCTGTGGGTCTTTAATTGGGGTTATTTTTAACTTCAGTAACTAGAAGCTGGAGTTCAGGACATTGACTTTTTCATGGTTTTTCTGATGATATAATTAAAGAAGAAACAGGGTAATGACTTGAATCAAAAGATATTTCAAGAGCAAACATCCAAATATTTCAAAAGCCATTTGGGTTTTAGAATTGAGTTAGCTTTCCTTTTATGGACTACAAATACTGGTCTCACAGCAAATGTATTACTTCCTGTCAGGTTCTTCTCAACATTTATGTGGAATCTTTTATAGGAAGTAATGTTTTACTTCCATTCAACCTGTGGCTGTGTAGGTTCTGTATTCAATCACCACAGCATTAAGCTAAAAATTATGAAGTAGAAAAGTATCTGGATAAAATTTTATTTCTCAACCAAACACCAGTGGCTTATGACTATAATCCTAGTTACTCAGGAGGCTGAGATCTGATACTGTCCAAAATTGTAGCCAGCCCAGGTAGGAAAGTTTATGGTACTCTTTATCTTCAATTAACCAGCAAAAAGCTAGAGATGGAGGAGGTATGGCTCAAGTGGTAGAGCACTAGCCTTAGGGAATAAGCTGAGGGACATTGTCCAGGACCTGAGTTAAAGCCTCACTGCCAGCACACACATACACACACACACACACACACACACACACACGAACACACGAACACACACACACACAATAAAAATAAAAGTTTATTTCCATCAAAAGTTTGTAGATAAGTGTAGTTAAAAGTATCATTTTGTTGGTAAATCTCTGAACGTTTATTTTAAATTCCCCATATAAAGCCATTTGACTTATCATTTGCTTATGTCCTGATATTATTCATGTGGATATTAAATTACTTTAATTTAAGTATCTTATTTGTGGTATTTAAAATTACTAAACCTAGGGAAAGCAAATTATATTTTTATAAGTACACTTGTCCTACAAATACTTTTGTTTTCAAAGCACATTCACATAAATTGGATCTTTAGCTTTGACGACATACATTAAAAATGTGTTTGAAGATTTTGAAGTTGTTGAACTTCATACTGATCTATTTCTGTAACTAAATTTACCACTTTAATTATGTAATTTTTGAACTACAGACATGTAATTTTAATACTCATTTTGAGTTAAAACTAAACTTTATATTAGATCTTCTTTTCTTTCTATGCAAAACATGAAATGACATAGCAAAATTTTGTGTTCATTTTAGGTGATAGAACCTAGGAGACCTTAGCTCACATTAAAGTATCCCATGAAACTTCCATCACCTGGAAATTCTTGTTACTTACTTTTTTAAATTTAGAACATAAAATTTAGAACATTAAAATAAATCATTAATACTTTTGCTTGTGTGTGTGTGTGTGTGTGTGTGTGTGTGTGTGTGTGTGTGTGTGTCCGTGCCTGTCCTGGGCTTAAACTCATGGCCTTGGTGCTGTCCCTGAGCTTTTGTGCTCAGGCTAGCATTTTTACCACTCGAGCCACAGCTGCATTTCTGGCTTTTGTAGTGGTTAATTGGAGATACGAGTCTCACAGACTCTCTTGTCTAGACTGGCTTCTAAAACCTTGAACTTCAGATTTTAGCTTCTTGAGTAGTTAGGATTTCAGGAGTAAGCTACCAGTGCCCAGCACTTAATACCTTTTGAAAATTCCATATTTATTTGTAGACATGAATGTCGTGACTAGAAAGTTGAAGAATTCCATATAAAGATTTGTAAGTTGAACAATCATTGCACAAGTATGTTATTAGTGCATGAATCACTTGGAAATTACAGGTGTTCAAATTCCCTTTGGCGAGGTAAACTAAAGGTCAAAGTGCAGTAGAGAGCTTAGGAAAGACCATTCAAACAGTGTACACTTTAATCAGACATCCATCAGCCACAAGGATAAGGATATAACCTGAAAAACAGGACTCCAAACCCATCTACACACCCATCCTCAAAACACGAAGATGACAGAGTTCAGGGTTTATCTGAACATTCTCATTCAAGATCAAGTTCATTGACTCAATATGAAGAAGATCTTTTCACTGTCTTCAGTAAAACTAAAACCAAACTGTATGGAACTCACTTAGTCTTGATGTCTAGCCTCAATCAGAAAAGACTGAAGAATCAGTAAACTTAAATTCACTCATAGAGAGGAGGATATGTTCATAATAAACATGAAGAAATGTCACTCTTAAACATTTCTACAATATTTCTCTCATGTAAAGCTATTTGTTCAATGTCCCATATTCCTTATGGAAGCAAGCTTCATGAGGACAAATACCCTGCTTTTTTCCCTCTAGAATGTAGCACAATTTCTAGCACATGATACTTTCTTGATAAAAAGTTTCTGTTGCTGCTTATGAGGACCTTGATTTACACTCTCTGTATCCTTAACATTTTTGTAAAAATTTGGTACCTTTCCCATTTTCTAAACCCTCCCATGAATTGTCTACTAACTTAAATATAGATGTAAAATTAGAATTACTTATAATTTATCTAAAATTAAATGTATATGTAATCTTACATAATATTAATTACAGACTTAACAATACTCACATATGTATTCTTGAAACTTCAAAGTAAATATACTAAGTGAAAACTATTGATGAAATATTAAATATAGAGCCATTGAAGGGATTCATTAAAGATAGTTCATCAAACTTCATTTTTAGTTAAATAGTTTTGTAAGAAAAATGAAAGCTTTTCTACAATGCTTTATTTTATTGTGCTCCAAATGTAACAATTTAATTAATGGTTTGATGTTGTTTCTGTCTTTTTGGTTGTTAGGTTCAGGCAATTCTGAGAAGAAACTGGAATCAATACAAAATCCAGTTCGGAAACAGTTTTTCTCATCCTGATGCTCTCCGTAGTGCATCTTACACAGTGTCAACAATTAGTGAAGTCCCGGGCTATAGTCATGACTGTCCTACTGAACACTTAAATGGGAAAAGCTTCCAGGATATTGAAAACGTTGTATTAAAACCAGAGAAGCTATATGACTTAGTTATGTGAACACAGAGAGATCATTGCCAGGTTTGTGCCACTCTTACTTAGCACAATGACTTAGATACATGACTTTCCAGCCAGAAGACTTCAATACTAAATGAATCCCTTGAGATACCATAAAGGAAGCACTCAGATTAAAGGATAAGTCTGTGGATATAATGGTAAGCAACAATCACTGTGTGGATGGAAAGGCTGTGATCGAACATTTGCCAGTAAATAACTACACTGTGGTTGATTCAAAGCTAGCAACCTGAAATCACTGAATGTGAAACTGGGAGTGGTGTGGGGGTTGGGGAGAGTTAAGCACAATTAGTAAGCTGATATGGGTCAGCTCCAACTTATCACTGCTTGAAATCACCAGTGAACGACCGTGCAAGTTCAGATATGCAATGGGTCTAACTCCACTCCTGTCCCCTTATATACACAGTCTTTCTCCCACTTAAGGTGCAGTTCTTTGGCTGAATATGTATATGTACACATAAAACCAAACATACACTATGTCACTGGACCTCTTCAGGTAGTGTTTTCTCAAATGTACTAAAGCATTAATTCTATCATAGGCTAACCACTTGTTGATACAGCACAATTACATCCTGAGGCAAATCATTGTTGAGATCTAATAAATAGGATGTACTATATGCAATCCTACTTCTGTATGATCAGGAGATATCCTTGTCCTCAGCTACTTCCCTAGCTTACTATACAAGTGGGAGGGAATTTCCCTGTATCTGTAAATAGAGACTTTGACCCTTCAATTTCTACTATGTAGACAACTTAGTTATCATTTTACGTGAAGGAAATCAATGAAGGATTTCATATTACCTTGGACATTTGTACAAAAAGATTGTTGTGGGAAATGAATTTGTGAATAATCCATGTATTATTTTATAGTGTTAAATCAAATACAGACAACCAAGGTAATTGCTTTAAAGCAGATACATAATACAATGATGGAAGAATGTCATACCTGATATTGTGTCTGGGCAGATTTTACAACATAGAATCTGGAATTCTATATTTGGTAAATATTGTAAGGACAACCAGATACCAGCATCAGAAGTTAGTATAGAAACTTAAAGAGTCAGAGACATCTGTGGTGAGAAATAAAATATTTATTTTAAAATGTCAGGCTGTTATTTTGACATGTCATCTTTGAAGAGTTAAAATTTTCTCCTTCCATTTTGATAATGAGCTCAATCAAATCCAGAAAAAAAAATCACAACTACTGTAATAAATAATGTGTTACCCTTGCAAATTTTGCTCCATTAAATATTAGTTTGTTGACTTTTACTATGTGATACATGCATTGGCAGCATGTCACTTTACTAAAGGAAAAACAAAAGCAATAGAACATATATACTATAAAAATGTTCCAATATTTAATAGACTACTATATATGATAATACACACCACTAATACTTGAATGATTCATTGAGGAAGAATAATCAAATACCTATGGGATAATTAAATTAAGGTGGAAGACAGCCTCTCTTATAAAAGAAAGTGACATTTAAGATGATTCAGTTATTCTATTCAGTTATTTTCCACTGGAATGTCTGAAGAACAAGAAGCTCAACTAGCCGGGCGCTGGTGGCTCACGCCTGTAATCCTAGCTACTCAGGAGGCTGAGATCTGAGGATCGCAGTTCAAAGCCAGCCCGGGCAAGAGAGACCGTGTGACTCCTATCTCCAATAAGCCACCAGAAAACCGGAAGTGGCGCGGTAGCTCAAGTGGTAGAGTGCTCGCCTTGAGCTGAAGAGCTGAGGGACAGCGCCCAGGTCCAGTGTTCAAGCCCCACGACCGACCAAAAAAAAAAAAAAAGTTCAACTAGTTAAAGTAAATTTGGGAAGAAATTATGTGTATTTGTTTTGGAAGTATGTCAATCAGCTGAAAATGGATTAGAGATCTGTCATCATAAATTGCTTCCCAAATCTTCAGGAGATAAGTTTAAACTTTATTTAAAATTGTCAAATTAATGTGAATTGGAATATTAAATGGCCTAATAAATACACTTGTTATTTATCTATGCATGTAAAGGTATCATTACATTAGTATCAAACTTATGGGTTTCATAGCAAGTTATTATTAAAAGGAATGCAGGTTGTTCTCAATTTTAACTGTCTAAATTATAGTACATTTTCTCTTACTAAAATTAATTTTGTTATTTATTATTCAAAGATACAGATTCATATTCTTTACTGACAATGTTCATATGTAGTTCAGCCAATACTCTAGACCAGCTGTCAACTTTTAGCCATAAATGACAGTAGGAAATGTTGAATTATAAGAGAACATGTTAAAATGATACTGTAATTATCAAGTATTTCTATTGTGTTTTAAACATGTTAAATGCAGTTATTTTTCTTATTGCCAAGGTTTGTCTGCTGTACCACCTTCAACTGTAACAGACTGTGATTAATCAGTATTAATTTTGTACCAATATATTTTTGAGGAATAATATTTTTGAATGTTAGACTTCTTTAGATCTGAAGAGCTAATTGTGATCTTTATGCATTACTTGTGAAGAAAATTAATCTGATACTTTCTAAAAGCAATCTTGTTTAGCATCTAAAAATCTAAATTTTTGCAAATTTATAGCTTTTAAAATAATAGCTCAGCCATTTTCTGAAATTACTTGTGGAAGTCTCATTTTAATTTTCTAAAAAATTCTGTTCTGTCATTTTTTTTTAAAAAAAAGTTTACTTTCTAGTGGGTAAATTCATAAAAATACTCATTTTGGAATTTACTGTTTATTCAACTATAATCCAATGTATATAGAATTAGGAGCAGCTGTAGTGCTGTATTTATTGCTTATAAGTTTTAATGTGAGTTTATTTTAATTTTATCCTGACTTTAATCTGCTAATAAAAACAGCTGTTAAACATATTCAAGATATTCTAATTAATTAAAATAACTCATGTTATACATGCCTAAAATGTCTCTAGTTTGATTTTATATAAATAGTACAACTATAAATTTAAGTTGTTTTATCTTCATATTTACTGGGATGTTAAATGATCCATTTATGTTTAAAATACAAAAATCAGTGGAATGGTTCTTGCAATCATTGACTTTGTGTCTATTTGTCTTATTAAAATGTCTGTTGGAGTTTTTCAATAAACCAGTAATAAACTAAGGAAAAGTTACACAATGCTTTCTCAGGTCAAAATATCTAAACAAACTATAATGTTAACAAATGAATTCTTATGCTGTAAGCTAGGGGGAATTAGCCCAGAGGTAATTATATCTCTAGTGAGCTATAATTATAGCTATTCAGGAGGATGAGGCCTGAAGGACCAGGGCAGAAAAAGCTGTGAAACTCCATTTCTATTTAACCAGTAAAATGGTAGGATGATGGTATGGCTCACATACCAACCATGAGCAAGCAAGTTGAGCATGAGTTCCTGTGTTCAAGCCCCAGTACTGACAATAAAAAAAAGAGGAAAAAGCCTAAAAGTATGCAAATGTTATGTGATTTATCTCCTTCTACTATATTCCAAGGAGTAGAAAGAAAAAGTATAAACAATTATTTAAAGATAATGTGGAAAAGAGGTACAAATACAACTTCAAGACAAAAACATGAAAACATGGCAAATGATTTTAGTTCATTAATGAGGAAAACTTAAATATGTCACAATTATTTGGAAGAGAATTCATATATTTAAGACTTTAAAACCTCTGAAAACATTTATAAATAAATATAAAATTGATATATTAGTTACAGTCTATTGAATAATTGCCTTTCTAGTGATCAAGACTAATATACATTATTGCTGCTAGTCAGGTGGCTCATGCTTGTATTCCAAGCTACTTGAGAAGTTGTGACAAGAGGATCATAGTTTGAGGCAGGACCAGATTTTTTTTTAAATCAGCAAGACTCTATCACAAAGATTATGTCAAGCATTGTTATTTATATTTTTTTACATCCCATCTATGTAGGAGAAATAGGTTGGCATATTGTAGTCTGAGTATAGATGAGGCAAAAGGAAACAAAAGAAATAATGCACAAAGAGCTAGGCATTGACTCAAGTAGTAGAGTGCCTGCCTAGCAAGTAAGAGGCCCTGGAACCACTAAAAATAGAAGAGGATGAGTATATAGTATTCATAGTTGTTTTGCAGTAGCATACGAGTAAGCAGCTCAAAGTATTAAGTGGCAGAGATAAATTCATGTGAGCTCTAATATAGTATGCACAAATTATACTTATATACAACTATACCATATATAATGTATATCCTTCATATAAATACATATAATTATGCACAATACAATTTTTCGTTGTTATGATATCTAAAAATCTTTTGTCAAAACCAAACACATGCAGATTTACTGCTATAATTCCATCTAAGGGGATTGTGCATTTCTATTCAGGTCATTGATCTATTTCCAGTTACTCACATCTGCCATTATTGCAGTCTTTTACCTAAGATAGTTGCTAAAATAGCCTATCACACAATTATTTTCCAAAGAAAATTATTTAGAATCATAATTTCTTAAGATCAAGGAGTATATCTGAAAACATACCAGATTAAATATTAGCAGGACAGATATAATAGAAAATGTTGTATCCTTTTGATCCATAAAGATAAGTTTAGACATTTACTTAAAAAAATTACTAATTAATGAGATAGTGATTTCTAAACATCCAAGAAAAAATAAAAATTAATTTGTACTGACATGAAGAATGGTAATGCAGCTGGGAGTGGAGGCTCAGTCCTATATTCATGGCTTCTTGAGAGATTGAGATCAGGAAGCCTGAAGTTAATGGCCATTCAAGCAAATATTTTATATAGTTCTCTTAATCGATTTAAAAAACCTGGGTGCTTACCTGTCACCCTAGCTACATAAGAAGCCTAAATAGAAGGATTCTAGTCTAGGTTAGCTGGGGCAGAAAGAAAGCGTCTAATAAAAAAAAAAAAAGAAAGAAAAGGGGCTGAGAGTGAGTTACAAGTGGTAAAGCTCTTCCCTTGTGAATGCAAGGCCCTGAGTTCATACTTCAGTTCTGCCTTATCAAAAAAAAAAAAAGGCAGACAAGTGCATTTATCTATAAATTTAAGCTACAAATTTAAGCTACTAAATTAAGCCACTATATACTCAGATAAAGACAGCATTAAAATAATAAATATTATAATAGTGATATGTGATAAAAATAATAGAAATAATATAAGAACAAAATTCTTCCATTTATGAACAAAAATCCAAAAGCAAAATTAATTATAATCCAACTGCACATTTCAAGCCATTCAGAAGTACTAGGTAGTGATTTTTAGAATTACAAAATTACCAGCTCAGACAAATGTATCTACCACTGTATTTTGATACCATCAGTCCTGAAGCTGTATCATTTGGTAAAAACATCACTTAATATGATATCTATTAACAAATGTTGAGGGCTGGGAAGTTGGCTCAGTGGTAGAGTGCTTGCCTTGCATGCATGAGGCCCTGGGTCTTCCTCAGCACCATATAAGCAGAAAAAGCCGGGAGTGGTGCTGTGGCTCAAGAGGTAGGGCACTAGCCTTTAGCTGAAATGCTGAGGGACAGCACCCAGGCCCTGAGTTCAGGCCCTGGACTGGCAAAAAACAAACAAACAAACAAATGTTGATAAATCTACAAAATAGAGTTAATGCTATTTTGACATGGATTAGTAAATATATTCAAGTCAAAATTGACAAATATATACCATTCCAGAGCATAACACTAAGAACATTTTATTATATGCTAACTTCTTCCATACATATTTTACAATTTAAGGAGAATTCGACAATCTAATATGTTTCAGCATACTTTCAAAAAGATATTTCCAAGGTAAATCCTTTGCTTTGTGCAAATTTGTTTTGAATCTCTGAGAACAATTCAAAGCTAGCATTCCAAATGCAAGATAATATACAACATACCTCACGAAACAGATTTCATTATTAAAAATTATTGGATTAACTTTGGTATTATTGTTTCTAATGACAAGATATCATTTTTTATGATCCAGTTGGAGATTCTATTAAACAAAAATCTCAGCTGGCCCAGGGACAACTCCTCTCATTGCATTTTCCAAAAGTGTTGTAAACATGCTTGAAACATTTACCTCAGCTTACAACATACAATGAACAGAGATTCGAAAACAAAACAAATAGCAAGGTAGAAGGTCAGCTCTTTCTCATCTTGTCCTCACACAGTATATGTGCTCCAGTTACTTCTGCATGTGTAGTCAGAACTCTAAGATACTCACTGAAAAGGTGACTTTAGTTTTTCTAAATCAGTACTTCTGGCCACATATCCATACCCAGTGAACAAGTAACCCATTGCAAGTGAAACATCAAGGGGATATTTTTTTCTCTAATTTTTCTCTAATTCTTACCTTTAAAAAAATGATGAGATAATAAATAATCCTGCCTAAACCTCAGTCAATACTGTAATGATCTTCACCTTAGATTATATAAAACCTCTCTCCTCTCCTCTCCTCTCCTTTCCTCTTCTCTCTCTGTCTCTCTCTATCTCTCTCTGTCTCTCTCTCTCTCTCTCTCTCTGTCTCTCTCTATCTCTCTCTGTCTCTCTCTCTCTCTCTCTCTCTGT